ACCCATATCTTGCACTCAATGCAAATTATTAGGTGCTACGGCAATTTTTCAGAAATTTGAAGACATAGTTATGGGAATGCATTTTATAAAAATAAAACAAATGAATATAAATAAAAGGAATACATATAAAATATAAACAAGCAAAAAAACCTACCCATACTTCCCACAAATACAAAACTGAGTCTCCAATCTCATGGTTCATTAAAGTGTTAATAAACTAATATCCTGGTATTAGAAGAACCAAGTAGTAAATCTCTTTCCCTTATACTCTCCTTTTCCTCTCTAAGCCCCAGATGTTCCGACGCACATTAGTTTTATTGAATTACAAATGTTTATTTACCGTAGGTGATGATTGCGATTTCAGTTTTTGTTACAAATCCCTTTGAGGGTCTCACTGGCTGTTTATTTTTTTTATTACAAATAAAAGGGAGGACATTTATTATTAATTACAATATAATACTGTGTTTTGGGATGTTCCCATCCCATAATAGCCCCAATCCCCAGTGCTTTGCACTGGTTCAGGGACGGATCCAGGATTTGAAGACAAATATTTTTTCCCAAAAGTACCCAAAAGAAAAGGGGGTCCAGGGCCCTCCCCTGGGAAAATGTTGATTCATAGATGGCCGGAAAAGAGCTTTCCCGACTTCTGAGGGGACATTTAATGACTTTTAATTTCTTCAAAGTTTAAGGTTTTTCCCTCTTCAAAACGGTCAAGTGATGTTATCTCTTACACAATAAGTAGTCCTACAGTATGTGTATATACATAGAGAAAGTGAAAATAGACAGTATATTATTTTATTTAAAAAATCCCCATAAAGAGACCTTGCTGAATCAAATGGCTTAGAATTTAGTCCCTGGTTATGGTCGAACCAAAATTTTAAAAATTTTATTTAAGGCCAAATAAAATTAATTGCTATAGTCCCCGCCCTCATCAAAATTTGGAGCCTCATGAAAAAATTTACTATTTGCTATTTTTCAAAATACTTACATGGATGACTGTCTGATGACTGATTACAATAATGACAGTCTGCAGAATGATGTCAAGCCTAAGAAAAGGTCAGTACATCCCCAAATACTAGCGAAAAAAATTCACAAGTGATTTGGGTGATCTAGCCTGATGTCTTAACCACTAGACCACCGAGCCTGCGCTGGGTGACTAATGATGAATCCGATCCCCTAGTAGCAGCGGGTACTGCAAGTGCTATAAAGATATGAATTTTTTTTTTACGTCAGGTTGTGCAAAACTTCACTCCAATAGTGTTTTTTTTGTATTCATTAATATACTACTCTACTGTGCTGCAATTACTTTCGCAACTTTGGACATGATTCTTGTTAATTAGGTTTCTTTATGTAATTTGTTTCAGATATAAATCATGAAGTTGCAGCTGTTTCAAATTATCCTGGATCAAACACAAGCTGTGTATGCACCAGGAAACGTGGTTTCAGGGCGTGTTGATATCGCCGTTGAGAAGGATGTAAATCTTCGTTTGTGCGAAATACATTTTAAAGGCTTGGCTAATGTAAGACATGCTCTTAGTTTACAGTACATTGCAATTGGTCTAAACTGGAAACACAACTTTGTGCGACCGTCAGTGAGCGCTTGACAACACAATGTTGTCTGCTGGTTGTCATTAAAAATGATCAGTTGCACATGTTTCCTTACTTTGCGTTCTCTGTAGAATTGTGTCTGCCCGGCGTAAGACATAACCGTATCCCAACTGGGATACAATTTTCACAGTTTCCTATTGGTTGTTGAACTGGTAATCCTGACTGTGGTTTGGTTTGGTTACTATCTTCACTGGGTTTTTCTTTACTTTTTTGTTAGAAGAAAAAAATAAAATTCAAGATTTTGCTTTTTTCAATGGAGGTGGATGTAACATTTAACAATAATATAATGATTTGATTTGTAAAATTACACAAAAGAAATATTTAAGCAGTATAATTGTATAGAATATATTGGAAAAAATTAAAAAGAAATAATCTTGAATAATAATACTGAATAAATAATAATATCAAATCAAATGAATATTAATACTAATTAAATATTTTTTTTTATCTATAAATTTATTTAGTAGTAGCATTTAAAAACAGTAGTGTCCAAGACTGATCACCTTTTGTTAAAAAATATTTTTAGAATAATTTTTACTTTTTGCATTTATACTAGGTTCATTGGAGTGAACAACACTCATCTGGAAGCGGTAAAAATCGTCACACACGTACAGTGCACTATCGGGCCAATGAAGATTACTTTAATGTCCAGCAGCAACTTCTTGTTAAAGGTGTGGAAACAATTCCAATCTCTCAGATAATTATTTGAAATATTAAAAATCACAGGAATGTACATAAAAACACAGCTCACATACTGAAAAATTAATTCTAATAATATTATGGTTAACTATACAGCTAGTATCATCACTATCATTCTTCTCAAATGTAAGTTATCTTTCAAAACAGGAAGTCTTTTTCCAAAATTTATCAATAATTTTAATTAGATGTAGTAAATCAAAAATTGAACAAATAGAAGGAATTCAATGGATCTGAACCTATTGAGTTATATCCATTCTACTTAAATCTTAAAAAGTTTTCAATCTTAAAGGGATTTTTTTTTTTTTGCAATTTCACAGTGGAATATCTTTAATCCAAATATAAATATATCTAAATATAATATAGCAAACATATGGTACTGGAAGAGCTACAATAACAAAAGAAAAAAAAGACAAATTATTGTTAAAAGACAGGTAGCAGTCTCTGGAGCCCATTTTCTTTGACTTTTGTTCCATGTTTTATAATATCTTCATAAATATATTATTTATTTTTATTATTATTTATTAGCTAAGTTTGGTATCTCAATTTCTTTGATACAGGTGCCAATAATGAAGTAGTGTTGAGTGCAGGACACCATTGCTTTCCATTCAGTTTCCAGCTGCCTCATTCGTAAGTGTTAGCTCAGTGTATTTTTTTTCTAAAATTAATAATTAGTAACAGGGTAGTGTGCTCCAGGACACATAGTTCAGAGTAGTGTAGTAGGCTTTTAACCAACAGGTAGATGAAGGAAGCAAACATTAGAAAGCTGCATGCAAGCCTCTTGTATAGTGCACTCACTCTCAATTAGTCAGACTTCAAAGGTCAAATTTTCAAATTGAGCTAAAATTTACCAGAAATGATCTGATTGTGTTTATGCTCTATTGAGCATAGTTTCTAGTTTGTATTTTTTATCCACCATTAGGCTTAACATCTTTTTACTTTTTAACTGCACATTGGGCTGTTCTGATATCATTTTTAATATAGCTTTGCTGATGGATATGAATGATTACATTCCAAGTTACATGGGTTCAAGGCAGAATACTGATACACGATACTTGTATACCCATGGATAATTTATAATTGAAAATTTTAATGATATTTTATTTATTTTAAAATTTTAATCACAATGTATGAATTTGTAATATTAGAAACTTACCAACAACGTTTGAGGGCGCCCACGGATGGGTGCGTTATTACCTGGAGGCAGTGCTTGATGAAACTTGGTGGAAATTTAACAAACGCTGTAAAGTAGGGATTACCGTCATCAGTCCAGTAGACTGTAATGCTAATCCAGTTTTACTAGTAAGTACAGTATTGTATACATCCTACCATCAACATCTTCATTTTTATCTTCATTATTATCATCATCAGAAACACTATCTGTACTATCATTGCTATTATAATAAGTAATAATAATAATAATATAGAAATTTATATAGTACCTTTTTCCAAAGGATACAAGGCGCTTAGATATGTGGACTACGAACTCGATCAATGACTTTCTTCTCCCCAAAGGGTCCCTTTGTGTCTGTGCTACCAGTAACCCAGTACCAGCAACTCTCGTCATTCACCACAGGGGCTGTAATAGTACACCGGGGTATCCCCCTACTTGTCTCGAATAATGTACTGGACTTGGTTCTTTATAGTGCACACGAGCCATTGTGTACACTGGGCCTACGGTTATTAGTCTTTATTCGAGAAGACTTGTTCTACCATCCAAACCATAGGTGAGCGTGCCGTTTGAACCAACACCAATACTATGGCTGTAGGCTAGCTGCTCGGCCATTCGACTCGGAACCATCATCATCAGTACCATCATCAAAAACCCTTTCGTTAACCACTACCATCTTCAGTGGCGTAAGAGCTATGATATCTTGTTGACTTAAGCCAGAAGCCCCGGCCTTAAGTGGGCTTCAGGATACAGTATTCATCAGCATTCCTTTTTGCCCCTTATCAGCCGAGAAGGGCCATTTTGATTAGTAGAACGTATAAAGACACATCGAAATACAGACTTTAACTCCCCCAAACTAAGAAAAATATGCAGCATGACCATTAAATTTTCATTTTAGAATCCTATGAGAAGAGATGAAACTAAAGAAGTATGCTGCTGTTGCTGTGCGACCCACATAAATGCATCGTTTGAGATCCAGCGCCAAGCGTACTGTGCTGGTAAGTGTAGTTACGTAATGTAGATATTTCTGGAGCACCCTGCATCTAAATAGGAAAGCAAAGTGTTAGTGTTAGTGTACTGTAACTACATAATCTGCATTTGTTTGTGTTCACTTAATACCAGTAGAGAACCCTCCAAACCCCCTTCATTCCTTCATACCCTTCAATTTATCCTACAGCTGCATATAAACTGTGGAATCAATCATATTAATAAATACCAAAGTTTACACAGTTGTTGTTAAGGCAATGATAATAGCAATGGTGATCATAAGTATGAGAAATATAAGCTTGTATGCAACATTTTATAAATACATATTTTAAAAAATGAAAAATAATAATGTTAATATATTTATTAATTAAATATTAATTTTAGCAAACCTGATTGTTTTGTCTGATATATACTTCATCAGGTGAATCTATAGTGCATACCGGCGAAGTGAACAACGGAAGCTCACGTGACCTTGAGCCATTTATTGAGTTATATCAGAGGGTCCTTTTTAAAGCCACTCGCAAAACCCGCAAGATTGACAACCTTGTATGTAAAATTTCCGAGCCAGAAATCGGTGAGGGAAAACGTCACGGATGGAACCAAAAACCTCTCCTTATCCCACCAATTGCACCCACTCTAACAAACTGTAGCATCATCGAGGCATCATACTTTGTCAGGGTATGTTTAGCAATAGATATATAAAAGAATATAAAATTTAAAGCAGAAATAGTCTACAAAGCTATTATATTTTAACAATGTCTCCACTTTCATTATCATCTTTTTCCGTAAACAACCACAAAATTTTATCACAGATATAACATTTACCTTGAAAAGGACACTAAAAATTATATTGAACACCTTAATGTATAAAGCTATCTTTTCTTATATATAAAATGTATCTATTTATAGTAATATATGAGTAATAATGTAGTAATTTTGAAAGATTAAAATAGCCCTAATAGCTTTGTTCAAATCAGTTTGATTGCTGTGTTGTGTCATCTGGTTGGAGGAAAAAAGTTGTATCATGAACAACATGAATGGAAATTGACTGCTTTGTATTTTTGTGTATATTATATAGCTGCACGTGGATATTCCAATGGCGGTGGATTGCCGTATTGATATTCCGGTATTGATTGGTACGATACCAGCAAATGTGTACAGCAGTGGATATAACACTCAATATGGAGTGGTAACACAACAACCGTCTGCACCTCCTGTTGCTTTTGCTGACCCCTACCCAAACCTTCGTAAGTAATCCTAATATTTTAAATTCATCTACTTTTATTTTTTTTTTTTTTACATTTTAAAATTATATTCTGTATATTTCACATTGTCATACAAAATTAGAACATTACGTAACTAGAGCATACCCTCAAGAAAATAATGGAATCATCCGTTGTATACAGGCACATTGTTTTCTTGAGTGCTGCCTGAATACAATTTGCGATTCCATTAATATGTTTTAGGCTCAAGGGTGTGTCCTTCGACCTTTTCTTCAGAAAATAAAATGGTGTCTTTCTTTGATTATTATGTACCACATTATTATTATATATTATATATATTATGTACCAAAAAAAATATAAAGGGCCTTTCAATTAAATTTTAAGTTTCGTTAAATAAATATCAATATATAATGAGGGTCAGCAAATATTTAAAAAAAAGAACATTTTTTTTTAAACCTTTAATACATTGCTTTTAATATTGGTAAAAGTTTTAGAATCAAGCAAAAAACAGTTACTGCTTAAACACAGTAAGATTTAAAACTTAGGTCAATCAGTTGGAATTTTTACTGTACGCAATAGGTCTAGAAATAATCCTGTTATTTTCTGTTTTTTAGCACCACCATCGTATGCTTCATGTGTGTTTGGAGCAGTGGACATGAAGGAAGAAGATACATCAGACGACGCATTCATGGGCAGCACAGGCTTTGTGCCAATGTATACATACTATGGTCAACCTCCTCCAGCATCTACCGGTCAGATTTAAGTTAAGCCTACTCCCAGTACTTGTCAGGTTTAGGCTGAATTATCTTTATCATCATTATAAAAAATGTGATAAAATGTATAAATCTTAAAATTAAAATAGTGTCGGTTCTTTATTATGTATAAACTAAGACTAGACTAGATGAAATTCATTCATGTGTAAATCCTGTATTAAAGTTAAAACTAACATTTATGTGAGGCTTTTAAATACACTGATGGTTCCTGTATATCATAGTACATAGAAAACTACTATCCTGTCGCATATTGTCCAGCTAACAATTTTACGTTATAAGAACTTTTTGTGGTAATATTAGAATACACATATAGTATATACTGATTTTGTTGATACATTAGCCAAGAAGTAAATTTTATCCATGTGTAGCATGATTTCTTTTTCACAGTCAGAAAAACTTATTTTGTAAAGCAAAGCAGTATTGATTGTGCATCTTTGATTCTGAGTGATGTTAATGTTAACTAAAGACAAGAGCCACCTTGTGGTGGAATCATACAAGGCTCCAAATTTGGAACAAGTCGCATCCTGAATATCTGGTAAAATGAGCTTTCTTAAACACATCTAATTTTTATTTTTGTGTGCGTGGATGATACCTATCGTCCCCGATTTCCGTGAGACTATTGATAAATAAACTTGTAAAAACGTGCAAGTATTATGAATTTGCGGAAGATTTTTTTCTCAGGAGATTTGTGCATTCTTTGGGAGTTAGCGGGAGACTTGTGACCCTTGATCATAGGAAAATTCCTTGTTTGTAAGTAAGGTTTTTTTATACCTTTTTTCGCCAACTTAGTTTTATAAAGGTCGTCAGAGGAGAGCAGGAAAATAAAATAAAATTGCATTTTCTTATTTAGCAAATATATTTGACAAGAACATCCAGACAGAGGAGAAAATAAAAATAAAATTTTATTGGTGAATGTAAAAAGTGTAGTAATGGGATGGTTAAATGCTTTAAATTTATATAATTGGGAAGAAATATACATATCTCCTTGTGTTTCAGCTGGAGGGCTTAAATACAAGTTACAATAGGGCACCGTCTTTTGGATAAGGCGTTTAAGTCGTTGGTCACGCGTACATTTATTTTTTGAGATTTTTTTTTGAAATTGCCATTTTTTGTGAGGGCAGGTGTGCTAATTGGCCAAAAATAAAATTTTATTTTTATTCGGAAATCTTCGTCTTTGGCAGGCGGCGGGTTTACTACACAAAGTATAAAAAAAGTCTAGTCTGGCCTAAAGTATACTTTGGCTTTTTATCATCGGAATTACTAGATAAAAGGCAATTGGCTGGTGGCAATGAAATCCTACCATGCTGAATTCTGAGCAGCTGAGAAGCACTGTACCTATAATTCCAATGTAAAACTAAATTAATATATCTGATGTATATACTAGAAAATTATTAACCAAATAGTAGTAATTAAGTTAACTTTACCAACGTATAAACAAAGTTAACTTTATTGCCATAACTTACTGCTATGAAACTCTTTTGTCTTTACTTGAATATTATAATAAGAAATTATATTTTAAATTTATACAATTGAGGTTTTACTTTATTTATCTGATGTTTTACTAGAGTATGTTACTGATGCATGGTAAACATTTAACTAGCATTGGATTTCTGTTACTGAACAGTAATCTATAATGGCAATGTATTGTATGTATCATTTTCTACAAATTGTAAATTTCTTATAAAAGACCAACAATATTATAGGATTATATTTTCACTTGAAACATACAGGTTTTGGTAGATTCTTTTCATGCATTACAGTGTGATATGACCAGTATTTTATATTTTTAGTATATGGTATTCTTTTAGTATTGCATTTATGCCTATATATATATACAGAATATATTTTTAATCTCATTTCTCAATTTTTAAATTCTTTAGTAGAAAATTGTATTTTGCTGTATAAAATTTAAAAAAATAAAAAAAATTATAATTTGCCTATGCAAATAACGCTATTTTGATTGCCAATCCCTAATATTGTGGTCTAAAAACACATTTAGGACCAAAATTAAGCCATTAAAACTCTCCCCATGAACCCCAACAAGGATTTTTTTCATTCCGGGGCGTCGACTGAGCCTTCGTTGTCGCAGTGGTACGGACTCCTCCGTCAGACACGTCGGACCCCTTGTCGGCAAATTTCTGGCCCCACTACTGAATTCCACTCGCTTTTATAAAGTGGGATTTAACTATAGGACGATTGGTAGCAATTACGGGGGAAATTGATATGATGTTCCCCCACTTTGATGAAGGACGTGTCCCTCGGTCCCCCCCAATTGACGCCCATGGCAGTGCTACAGGTCCATACGCAGGATTTTTTATTGGGTGAGTGCGAATTTGTAGAGAGTGGACCAAAATGGCTCCGGTGGGCGGAAGCGCCTAGGGGGCAGCGAAACCTTGCTGGGATCGATGTGGCGGAGCTCAGGAATTTTTGATAATTTGAGATCTGTGGCGGATGCATACCGTAAAAAAGGAATACATAAAATTTACCAAAACTGGGTGAGGGGCATGTCCCCCCGTCCTGGATCCGCCTCTAGTATCGGGGCTTCACCCCTCCCCCAGCCTTAGTAGGCCAGTTCCCTACGAAAATGTGGAATCTCCGCCACTGACTACATTAGCTTGAGGGAGCCCTAGGCGGCCCTATGCCAAAGACTTTCGGCCCATTTCGTGCAGGTCCTGGCGCCATCAATGGACCCACACTAATACTAAGACGCTTACATTCTTAAATATTATCTATACAGGTAGGTACCGCATTTACGGGGGTATTTTTGAGGACTTGGTAGCGAAAGTGTGGGAATTTATAGAGAGTTTCAGGTAGGCCTATAGAGTATTATTTGCGAAGACTTGGTAGCACGAGTGTGGGAAATACCTAGGTAAAATTGGTATAGTAGTAAAAGTCCCTGATCCGTCCCGTATCAAAGTAGGATAATTTTTCACACGAAGATTTTTTGCTAATAAAACCTATGATTTCACAAAATCGTTCCTAATTATCACAAAATGCTATAGCATGCATTGCATTATATATTTGCCAGCTTATCTAATTGTTGATTTTTAATAATTTGGGGTGAAATTTGTTAGAAATTGATGTCTCCGGTGATTGCAGATTGATCTATATAATATGAAGAATGCTATCTATAGGCCTGCAGATGCACAGGACATAATAACGTTACTTTTTCAGGTCTCAAGAACACCCAAATTAATGAAAATATAAATGAAATATTCAGGAATTATGTGTTTGAGAAATCTACTATAAGACTATTTTGTCTCTTTCTCACAAACCCCCTCCAGGCCTCTGCCCCCGAACCGCCAAATTCAAAAAGTCCACTTTTTAAAACCTATTATTTTACTAAAATCGTTCCTAATTATCGCAAAATGCTATAGTATGCATTACATTTTTTTGCCCACACTCTTACCCGTTGATTTTTAATAATGTGCTACGAAATCTGTTGGAAATTATCAGCTCCAATTGTAGGCCTACACAGATGTAAAGGACATGACAATTATAATTTCACAGTACTGGATAGGGGGGGGGGTGAGCCCCCTAAAATTAGAAAAGAAACGAAAAAAAAAAAAGAAAAATCATAATTAAAGTTTGAGAGTGCCATTTCTGGCCACTTTGAGGTGCCATAATCATAAATTTTCTTACAATTTTCTTGTTTTTAACTCACGAATGTCCGGCATGTGAACTGATGACCAGAAACTGAAATTTTACGAAATGGCCTAGCTATAGGCTACTAAAATTTTGCATCATTTTTTAAAAAGTATTTACGATGCATGCAAATGACAATGTTTAATTGTTTGCGATTTTCATTTTTTTTGTATTGAAATACCAAGTTGATAATTCAGAACATAGGCCGCTACATAAGAAACGCGCACCCATCACACTGATGCCTCATGTACTGTAATTTCGTTATTATCTTTGTTTTTCTATGAGAAGGGGAGCTGTCCGACAGGGCCTGACATTTTTGCAGAGCCACCAGGACAAAAAATTATATAGGCCTATAAAATTTAAAACGAAAACACTTTTTGTCTGAATGCCGTTTCCCCATCCTTCCTGTTTCCATTATGATGTAGCACAGTGCTTTACTAACTTTCTGTTTCAATTTAATTTATTCCGATCATTTTTATTTTTAAATTTCATTTTAGAATCATTTAACAAAAACGAAAATCCTATTTTATCTTGCAACGAATACTGCTTTTAATCTTTTAACTTAATCACCTCTCTGATTTCGGAGTTTTTGCGCAATTTTAAAGCCCCATTCCCGGCAAAATTTCAGTTTTTAAGAAAAATCTAATTTTTGTATAATGTTATAAAGATTTATAAATATAATACGGAATTGCTAGTTTAACTGAATTTAGACATTCCTAAGAATGAAAAATAAGACAGAAATTTGGTTTTTTTTTTGTGTTCCACACAAAAAATAATAGACCGTGGGTTGAGGATCAAAAACGTTCAATTCTGTGACCCACCAATCCGGGCTACCTGGCTTTTGCACAAAAATGTCAATACTATTAAATTGTAACATAATTTGATTGTTGGCAATCGTGAATTTGGGGAAACTGTAACCAAAAATGAGAATTTATATCAAAAGTTGCTACGCAACTATAGCCAATCAGAAGACGACTAACAATGAAGTTTGGCTTAGCTGCAAGGCCTTCAGCCAACCACAAACTACCCTCTATGCCGTTTGTCCAATGTAAATAGTAAACAACACACTCCACTTCCAAGTATGGCGTTGGACAGAAGTTCTTCAAATGATAAATCTGAGCCGGTTTCAGGCATATTTTTGTGATACATGTTGTAAGAACCTAGAGTATGGTTGTGTCATTAAGCGTAAACATAGATGTGTATAAGAGACAGAATTTAAGGATGTGCAACTCTGTGGAAAACAACAAATACGAGTCCTCAGTAAGGCCTATTAAGTTTCCGTCGAAGCTGATGAATAGCCTACATATATAACGAAGGGGATCTCAGGGATTGTGGTGCAAGTAGTATCATCAGTAAGTAGTATTATTATCAGTAGTAGTCAAAATTGCACCGAATCTGTTTAAAGGTACATGTGTGGTTACATATAACGTTAAAAATGGTATGGTATGTTTTACTTAATTGAGAAGCACTAAGCGTCTCTCTATCACACCACACATGCAGACAGGAAGCCCTGCCTTTTCTATCGACAGCAAAATATCCACAGAGTACTGTATACGCCTTTTTCACGAATCGGTAGACATCTTGAAGTGATGACAAACATTGCGAATCAGCGGTGCGTAACCAACAGAAATAAGATAAGCTTTTGGGCGGATTTTTTGACATCATGTTATTTAAAAAATCATAACTCTATAACCTGTCTCTTATACACATCTAGATGTGTATAAGAGACAGCTTCTAAATAGCATAAACTTAATTACAAATTTGAAATGTATAAATAAATAAAATCTAATCAACATAAAATTGAGGATTTATGTAGGCCTATAAAGGAATAATTACATACCCTAATCTTAAGAATTTTCAATAGTAAACAATTTTTTTTAAACAATTATTACCGGGATTAGTGTACTTTGATAATACTTCACAGGAAGTGGCGACGTGGTTCACAGGTTAGCCTAATCAATGCCCAATCGTGCGATTAAATGCATCATTAAGTAGCCTAATGTAGTTATGAAATAGAATTAA